AAATTCAAGACATTGTAAAAGAGCATAATAGGACCCCTTTAATACTGACCTCTGCTACCATGGTGGAGAGCTGAGAGAAGGTCAGTCGGTCAGCAGGACTGCAGGCCCAACATTTACGCATCACAGAATATAACTCCTGCGGACAGTCTGAAGGCCTATCCAACCTCTCACCTTCCCGCTCGACACGATATAAGATCTATAAAAACACAACGTCACTTAGACATCAAAGGAAATAGTGCTTATAACAGCTGCAGTTAATAAACAGAACACAGCAACAAACCGACATATGTACCTGTCTGCCAGACAGCCCCAGCCAGGGCTCCTCACAGTAAGTGAACATTTCCCACAATGTGATACCAAACATCCAGACATCTGAAGCGTGAGAGAAAGTACCCACACGTAAACTCTCAGGAGCACACCTATGGAAAGTAAGAAAAAGGCTGGAATTACATATCTCAATTACTATGAACCTTTCTTCATTAAACTCATTCTTTCTAGAATTTCTGGATTTCTGGAATTGTTCTCAGAATTCAGAAATAGCTCTTTCTGTTTCTTCGAATCCAGCTTCTCACCATGCGAAGGGGATGCGTTTGTGTGCCGTCATGATATAGTGGTCCCTGTCCGGATCCAAGCCTCTCATCAGACCAAAGTCTCCAATCTTCACTAGTTCTCTAGAAGCCAAGAGCACATTCCGGGCAGCGAGGTCTCTGTGGATGAAGCGTCTGGACTCTAGGTACTCCATACCTGCAGCAATCTGTGTGCTGAAGAGCCAGAGTCGTGAAAGAGGATATTCTCCCTGTCGTAGACGCAGAGTGTCGTATAAAGAGCCAAGGGGAGCCAGCTCCGTTACCTGATAAAAAGAAAGTTGAATTATGTCATCTGTCTTCACATCACCAGCACTGCAATAACATTACCAATAACACTACTGTTCAAAAGTTCGGGGTCAGTAAGATTTTTTCATGTTTTTGACTCTTATGCTTCCCAAAGTTGCATTTATTTGATTAAAAATACAGTAAAACAGTAATATTGTGA